CGAGTCCCTGTAGCTCGCTTATTTTTTATATGTGATGCATTTTGCATGGCACTGTACACGAATGCATTTCGTTTGCCGTGGTGGCTGCTCGTGCGCGCGCGTTTTGGCCGTCGGCGGCAACATTTTGGCGGTCTTTTTTCTATTTTTTTCGCACCGTGCAGCAGCTAGGTTTGGCGGTCTTTTTTTTCGCACCGTGCACGCTCTCTCATTTTCTTCGACCGTCTGTCCATCTACCCCTTCCTATTTAACCGGTGCTGCATCTGTGCCGTGGTCCACTCCTTTCCTTCTCCACTTCTTCTCTTTCCATGTTCTGCAATGGCTATTCCATTTGATTTGAATGTCCATTTAGAAGAAGACCACGACAATCTACCAAGCGATATCAATGAGCCAACGTTGGAGGATCACGCCACACATGGTAATGTACTACTACTCTGTTTGTTTGTTTGTTTTGATATCAAAGCAACAACGTGTAGTTTTGTTTCTCATTTTTTTTATGGACAGGGTTTGATTTGAACATGCCACTAGACGAGTTCGGTGCTGTTGATTTAGATTTTCTACAAAATCTGTCCGGTAAGGTTTACAAAAGACTTTGTTTTTGTTTCTTATAGCTAGAGCCAGTTTAGTTCCCCAGAATTTTGCTAAATTTTTCAAGATTCCCCGTCACATCGAATCTTTGGACGCATACATGAAGCATTAAATATAATTAAAAAATAAAACTAATTACACAGTTTAGACGAAATCCACGAGACGAATCTTTTAAGCCTAATTAGACTATGATTGGACACTAATTGCTAAATAACAACGAAACCCGCTACAGTGCATTTTGCCAAATTTTTTGGCATCTAAACAAGGCCCTAGAACATGCCGTGTCCAAGTAGTAACTATTGCATGAATGTGGTTGTTTTTTTTCTCTATAATTACAACTTGCCGTGTATACGTTGTATGAATGTGCTCGTATTTTTTTCCTATAAATAGAACATGCCGTGTAAGTTGCATGAACATGCTCCTACTAATGTTTGTTTTCTTTTAACAAAATGTCACTTGAACTAATGTTCGTATTTAATGTTTGTTTCCTATAAATAGAACATGCCGTGTAAGTTGCATGAATATGGAGTATTTAACAAAATGTCATTTAACTAATGTTTGTTTTCTTTTAACGTAACATGTCAGGAGAACCCCAACGTGGAAGAACAACGTCAACAACCCCACCAAGGAAAGAAATGTCTCGAACACCTCCGAAAACAAGTTTATCAAGCTTTGTTGGCTAGAAGCAACAATGGGAAACTAGGCAACAAAGACACTGCAGCTTGTTTCTCGAGCAATTTGGGATTCCCTGTTCGGACAATTCGTAGGGTATGGAAGAGAGGTAAAACATAGCTTGCAAACTCGGTTCCGGTTGTGGTTTCTAGTCTAAAGAAGGGTAGAGTAGGTCCGTAAGAAAGTCCTGTTGATTTAGAACCATTGCGAAACATTCCTCTAAAGCAAAGAATGACTATAGATGATGTGTGCAAATAGCACTAAATTTGAGTAAATGGCGATTCAAAGGTATTTGAAAAAAAGGTTACCTTAGGCGTCACTCTAGTAGCATCAAGCCATATCTCACTGAAGCTAACAAGAGGTCTAGGTTACAATGGTGTGTTGACATGGTTAACAGAGAGTTGCTTGATGATCCAAGGTTTAAGGAGTCGTATGACTTTGTGTCATTGATGAGAAATGGTTCTACCTATGCCAAAAATCTAAAAATATTATTTGCTACCCAAGAAGATGAACCCCATCGGACTTGTAAGAACAAGAATTACATCCCTAGGCTCATGTTCTTGTGTGCTTGTGCTCGCCAAGGTTTAGGGATGGGAATTGTATTTTGATGGTAGGATTGGTTGTTTTCCACTTGTTCGATATGAACCGCTATGAGAGGTAATGAGAGAACCGGCCGTGTCCGTGGAGACTTGGTTATGAAGCCTATAACTAATATCACAAGAGATGTGATTAGAGAATTCATGATCAATCAAGTGTTGCTCGCCATTAGAGCCAAATGGCCAAGAGAAGATGTGGGCAAACCGATCTTCATTCAACAAGATAATGCACCTACCCATTTAAAATTGGATGATCCGAATTTTGTTCCCATGCTCACTAGGAGGATTCGATATTCGCCTAATTTGTCAACCTCCAAACTCTCCGGATTTCAACATTCTTGACTTGGGGTTTTTTCGAGCTATACAAGCAATTCAATATAAGAAGAATGCAAAAACAATGGAGGATCTACTTCCGATCGTGCAAGAGGTAAATTTGTTCGATTGTTCACACATGTTTGAATGGTTTTTGGAACAACAAATTTGCTCATTCATTCATTTCGTGCACAATTGTTTTGTAGACATTCTTGGAGTACTCGCCACGCCTTGCAAACCGAATGTTTCTTACACTACAAGGTGTCTTGATGGAAGCTATGAAAGTGAAAGGTTGCAACAAGATCAAGATACCTCATATGAAAAAAGAAACATTAGAAAGAGAAGATCGACTGCCATCTTGCATCCCTTTTGATCCTCGCTGCTACATGAAGCCGAGGCTACTCTTGCTGCATGACAAAATTAGATTGATGCTATAATTAGTAGACATTCTCGCTGCATGAACTATTTAGATTGATGGTATAATTAGTAGAGACATTCTTGCTTTGCATGAACTACTATATTTAGATTGATGCTATATAATTAGTAGAGACATTCTTACCGATGCACGCTTGTCATCCTTCCCGGCAGAGCGCTCACGCCGAGCTTGTCATCGAGCATCTTGAGCACGTGAGGGGGTATGACGACACTATCGTCATGCATCACGATATTGTTGGGATCGGGAATGAAAACCTCGCAGTCGAACTCGTCGAGGCCGTGAATCATGGCAAAGACCATGTATTCATAGTGGACGAGACCACATCGAGAGCATGGCCAGAACCGCGAGTGCACACGGTTCCATGATTCCCGGTCCTCATGAACTTGATTGCAACGAGGGCAAAGAAAAGCACCCGGCGGCAAGGAGTCCGGCACCATCTCGACGGAGTCCGGCGCGATGATCGAGTCCAAAGGCCTCGACGGATCGCGGCAGATCGACGGAGTTCGCGCGATGACGGAGTCCAAAGCCTCCTCCGTGTCCCGCACACGACGTCCTCCGCGGCGACCTCCTCCGAGTCCGGCACGACGACGTCCTCCGCGGCGACCAGCACCCGCCGCGCCGCCCGGTCTCCATGCGAAGCGTGATGTGAGGAAGATGAACTGGTGGGCGACTTTCTTTGGGGCGCGGCGAGGGATGGCGAGGCGTGATGGATGGCGGGCGGCGATGGCGGTAGCGGGCTGCATGCGGAGATGAAGGAAGGCGCGCGCGACACGTGCAAATGTCGAAGCGGATAACCGGGCGAAAGCGCGAACCCAAGCGGCAGGGGAAACGAGCAAAATTCCATCCCACGAGCCGCAACGTCTTCCTTTCGCGCAAACGACTACGACGCCAGAATGTCATCTAAAACGGATACGGAGGGAGTATAAGCTAAATTTTAGCATAAGCGAACAGGTAATTATTACTCGCTAGCCACCCGCTTACAGCGAGCGTAGGGCTTGTAGCTCTCTGCGGACCACCGTCACGTGCCCAGCGCGGAGGGTGGGGGTGGAGTGACGAGGCTGGTCCTAGTTTTTGCCCTCGTTTTCGCCATCGCGCTCTGCCTCACCTCACGAGTTGACGTGGCCCTCCTCCTGCTCCCTCGGCGTTAGATACGCGGCTCCAAGATGTATGGCGCGGTGGCGCCGAGCTCGGCCACGTCACCGCCACATAGTTTAGTCACGCCATCACGGCCTCAAAGCTTGGCACTATATGCTATGGCGCCAGGGACGTGTTATCTCAACGCCGTAGATTATGGTGTGACTCTCGAGTCCAAAGATGAAATGTAGACACATATAGGAGTATAAAATACTAGGACATTTGTATATTAATTAACAACGATTGCGATACCCGCGGTTAAAAATAATTGACATCAATGGTTGCTAGTGTTATAAACAAACTTAACTGATAACTTAGCACTTTCTCCCGTTTCTAGATTTATTAAAATTTGGAATTGAAATATTTTTTGTTTTTGTACATTTTTCCCAAAGACCTCTCAAATTGTCTTGGAGCCATCTTCTAGAACTAAGATGCATGTCATTAGCCACGACGCGATCAGGTACAGAAGGCTAGTCTAAACAGGTGAATCACCGATCGTCCTTTTATGTTCTTGATTGACTCTCTCCAGTAAAAAAAAACTCTCACAACCGAACGTCCGCAACTCCGCATCCGTAGTGTGGTTCGATAAAAACAAGTGGCAAGAGTATAGTTGACTTTTTTTCCATAATAAAAGAATTTGTCAATGCTTTAAGCAAGAGAAAGACCAAATCTTACTGCAAAGCAGCCCGGTGGGCCGGCGGCAGCAGCCCAACGGCAGCGGCGAAACCCTCGTCATCGTGAGGGGCTCAGGGCCCGTCCCGTCCGTGACGGCCTGACGGGCACGCTCAGCGGTCTCGCAAAATCAGGAACAGAGCATTTCCCTCCCGCCGCCGCGCCGATTAGGCTCGCGGTTGTCACAGTCGCCTGCCACCCGATAGTCCAGCAAGGAGTGACCGGCGATGGCGTCAGGCCGATGCGGTAGCCTGCCGCAAGCGCAGCGGCGATCGGCGAGGCCTAGCCTAGATGGTCTGATCTGATGCCCACTTACCCAGGGGCCAGGAGGAAGGTATGCACCCACGAACCATGCGTTGCAAAATTTCTTCAAAATCCTGTCGAAGCACACGATTTCATCCACAATCCACACACGCGCCGTCCAACACATGATTATTAGAACGGCATAGTTTATTGTTCACTCTATATACTGTTCATCGCTCCTCGCAGCTCCTGAGCTCCCCAATTCGATCTCTTCTGTACTGTACCTCAGAGCACTACTCATCATCCCTGGCACTGGCAGTGCGCCGACTGCAGCCTGAGGCCTGCTGGATCTATGCTTTCGTCGCGTTTGGGCCGGCACCGGCGGCAGACACGCTCTCGAGGTACCTCTCCACGACGTCCAGGCCGCAGAGCTCCTTGACGACGGGCATCGTCGCCGGCACGTCCATCTGGAACGTGACGGCGGAGTTCGCGGGGCCGGTGCTGACCGAGAACTCCTTCCTCGCCGCCCTGATGGCCTCCCTCATCGAGCAGTGCACCGAGGCCGCGAGAAGAAGCGGCGGCTCGCCCGAAGCTGCAAACAAGTCCGCGGTATGCCAAGTTTTTTTTTTCTTTTCATAAGCGGTTATCATAAACTGAGAATGTCTGGATGATTGCATGAATGTTGAGCGGGGGGTGAAATGAAACATTGTGAGGAGATGCTTGCCTTTTGAAGACAGGATACGCTTCTTGTCACGGGCGCTATTAAACATCTGAACATTGAACTCTTTGGGGATATTATCCACCGTGGGGATCTTGTACGTCCATGTGCCGTCGTGGATGACCAAGCCGTCGGAGTTCGTCTTGTAGTCCTCGTTCGTGAAGAACCCTATTCCTTAGACAAAGCAGCCTTCGATCTGATTGAATGATGAGCAGTGTTTAGAGGAGGACACATTTTCGTTGATACAATGGTCTGCGTGAGCTGTAATAATTTTGTAGCTAACCTGGCCCAAGTCCACAGCAGGGTTTAGGCTTTGCCCGCGGTCGTACACAAGGTCACTTCGCAGAATTGTGGTCGCTCCTGTCAGGACATCAACTTCCACCTGCGATGTTCATTTGCAAATTTCCAATGAAATGTCAGCTTTCGAAGAACTGGAGCTGCAACCTCCAACAATTGGCTTTGGTAATTGCAGTTGCATTGTCAGGATACCTCGCTGGTGCCAGCTCCATAGTTCATGTAGTTTGTGAAAGATGGATTAGGAGTCCAGTATGCCTGTGCTGATAAGTTCACACTCGCCATGCTTGCCTGTAGATGATGAACAAATGTCATGAACAATTTAAACTGCTTGATATTGAGTTCCAGTTCCTTAGACTTATTTGGCATTGCTACTGATTGATTAATGATGGAATGAAGGGAGGCAAAGGATTTGAGTAACTGTAATTCTTGGTACCTCTTTCAATCAAATTAAGGGACATGTTAGCAACAAAGTTAGAATTAAGTGTTATCCTCACCTGAGCAATCAAGGCACTCCATTCCACGGTGTTGGACTTAGCTTCGAGACTCTCCTTGATAGGCTTCAGCCTCTCAACGAGTACAGCACATGATTGTCGAACCGCTTCACAGCTAGTTTCAGAAGTGGTGCTCCCAGCTGTCCAACCTCCTTGGATCAGGCTTAATGTGTCTGCCTGGATAACCCGAACCTTGTCCAGAAGGCATTCGCCACCATCAGGGCACAGCTGTCCCAATCCGAACGCTGTCATCTGCTTGACCTTAGTCCACAATCCTTGGCCTATCTCAATTCCTCCAACCTCAACGGCGATGGAACCATCATTCATGATCGATACCTTGCCTGGAGTTGGTCGAAGATTAACCTCATAAGTGGCTGGCACACAAGAAATGCCGCGTTTCTTCCATTTATTGCTGCTATTAAAGTGCTGAATCATTGCAGCCCTGTGCTGGTATTCTGGAGACATGGAAACCAGGCTGTATGTAGAACACTCCCAAGGCCAGCTTATCAAACATGGAAACCAGGCTGTATGTAGAAGCTTCACCGGCACTTTCTCCAGAGAAAACTTGAAGGCTTTCAAAATCATGAAGGTTCTTCCTCCTGACAGTGTTAGTGTCTAGTGCGAGCACCGAGGCAACATGCTCCATGATGGCTTCAGCGATGAAAGAGCCCTGCACATCTCCAGGAGCTCGCATTGCTGACTTTGATGAGACATTTGTCTTGTAGACCTTGGTGTCAAATTCAAGAGTGCCCCAGTTGTACTTTTTGAGAGCTCCTATGATAGCACGTGGCATTATTGGACTAAAATCTGCTGATATTCCAGCATTGATTCCAAGATCAAGGTGCAAGGCTGTGATCTTGCCATCTGACTTGAACCCAACAGAGTACTTCGCCTCCACTGGATGTCTCCCTCCAGCCATTATCATGTCGGTCTTGCGATCGAGGTACATCCTAACTGGACGCCGCAGCTTGAAGGCAGCAAGGGCACGTGCACATGCTGTCTGACAAAGAGGAAAAAATTCATGGTCATCTCTAACACATTTGCATCTCAACTGTTTTTTGGTCAAATCATGAAGTTCAATTGACAATACAGTGGCAGCTGAAAATACAAAATATTGAGTGAATCAAAGTTCTAGTTATAGGCAGGACTTACATGCGTTGCTTTCATTGCCTTTCCACCAAAGCCGCCTCCTACTCTTCTGCTGATGACTCGGACATTGTGAAATGGAATGCCAAGGCACCTTGCTATCAAACTTTGTGTGAGCTCGGGCATTTGTGTCGAGGAATAGATTGTAATGCAGTTATCTTCATCAGGAATTGCTAGTGCTGCTTGAGTTTCCATGTAGAAGTAGTACTGGGATTCAAGTTTTACCTGTGGGCACAAAAATACTAGGCGTGAATGTTTGGCCTTGCTGTAAATTCAGAGAGTGTGTGTGTGTGTGTTGTGTGTGTATATATATACCCAGTGCAGAGAGCTCCCGTTCTGTGCGGGGTCTGGGGAAAGGTGTCAGTGGCAAGCCTTACCCTCGCCTGTGCAATGCGAGGAGACTGCGACTCGAACCCGGGACCTTCCGGTCACAGGCGGTAAGGCTATACCGCTTGCACCAGGCCCGCCCTTCACACACACACACACACATATATATATATATATATCCTTTTGAACATAACAAAGTGTTCTGTACCTCTGCTGATAGAATCTTGTGGTCAGCTTCAGACATCCCTTTGTTGTAGTCACCAACTGGCTTTGGAGCTAAAAATGGGGGAAATTGGATGTAGCTGTTTCTTTGGATGGCATCTTCTATTGTCAGAATTGGTGGCTGCAGATTTTCTGTGCTATACTCAACAACAGCTTGCTTTGCAGCCATATAAGCATACTTTTGTGTTTCAGCAATCTGAGTGAATTGAAAAGCAACAAGACACAGTAAGATTACCTGGTTATACAAAAACATGTTTATATTTTTCTGTAATCTGAAATAACACTAGAGAAACATTACCACAACACCAATATTTTGACCAGCAAATTCAGCGATTGGATCCGCAAATAGTGGTTCATCTCCTAGAATCGTCAGGAAGCTGCTTCCAATATTTTCTCCACCGCTTGGAATATCCTTTGCTGTTATAACTGTGACGACCTTCTGTGAAGCCAAGGATGATTTGAAGTTGCTACTTTTCACATGAGCATGAGGATGTGTGCTGTAGATAAATGCTCCATAGAGGCAATCCTTGGGAGCAGGGATATCGTCAACATACACAGCCTCCCCTGTATAAGAAAAATGAATATGGTTTAGTGCATTATTTAAGAGAGGATATACAATTAGTAGAGCATGCTGGGACGGAAGCTTATGAGATGGTTATGCACTGACCAAACTATTGTACTAAAGACAAAAAAAGAGAGCCCTGAGATCATTATTTTTTGGAGTATACAGAAGAAAAGAGGTTCACCATAGTGGAACATGTTTGGAAATTCAAGCTAAATCAGTTTATGCACTGGTATAAGAGTATATACCTGAAGCTTGGATCTCTGCCCCGACTTTCTTGATCGGCTTGCCAACAGGCTTGTACTCATCGCTGAAAACCATTTCTTGTCTTGAACGTATTGGTAAATCATTGCTGTCAACCTTAAGATGCTTCTCAGGTGAGTCCACAGTGCTACCATTTGTAGTTCCATTAGTATATGACCCGGTGGGAGTATCAATATTTGATGGTGCATTCGAACTGTTGGCAAGGGAAGATAGGAAATTGAACAAGAAACTGACAGCCAAGCTGATCCTATATTCACGATGTGTAGTGTCTTCTGATGGTGAAACGGTATCTTTGAGTAGTTGAATTGCCTCAAGTATGACAAATGAGCTCAGTGATTTTCCCTTCAAGAAAGCCTCAACCTTCTTAGCTCTGATGGCATGATCGACTCCGTAGGCACCAAATGCCAGGCATATATCCTCAATTAGATGACCACCTCATGTCCTTGCTAAGAAAGCAGAGTTTACATATGAGACAGCATTTCCAAATGGACGAGGGGCTGCTCGGAAAGTCTCAAAGGTGACATCATCTGAACCCCAATGTGGAATGAATATACTCAACAGCAGGGTCCTAGAATCACATGGAGGTTGCTCCAAGAACTCCTCCAAAGTGAAGGACAGCCTTTTGGAAGCCACCTGGATTGTGTCTGTCGAACCTGCAGCTAGGAGCACGGTTGCAATGTCCGATTCGAATGGCAACCTTTGTGCCATCATTATGTTTCCACCTATGGTTGCAGTGTTCCGAACAAATGGTGAAGCCACTTTGTTCAGGTGATCAGCAATCTTTCTGAAAACTAGATTTCCATCTGAGAGCACCTCAATAGCTTTAGAGATGGACACAACTGACCCAAGCTCAATTCCTTCGATGCTTCTGTCGATGACTGAAAGCTCGATCTTCGTGTTTTTTTTCTTGAAGAGACAGATAGAAAAGTAAACCCTTCCCCCGCGTCGCTCCCTGGGGCGGCTCGGGCGGAACCCCATCGCCCCCGCCGTAGCCCCTCCCTCACCGCTCCGCCAGCCTCGCCGCCGCTTGAGCGCGCCACCGGGTGTCCGCGCGGCCGCAAGGACGGCGGCGGCGGGGCCTTCTTCCCCTTCCCCCCTTCTTCCCCTGCGCTTTTCCCTCTCCAGTGGTGCTGTTGCGAACGTCGAGGCCCCATCCGACGGTGGCTGGCGTGGCCGTTCCTGCGGCAGAGAGGGCGGATCCGCGTGCTAGTCGGCCGGATCCAGTCGCCGGTGGCCAGATCTGGTGGCCGCCGAGCTCGCCTGCCCACATCTTCCGGCGGCTGGGACGCGGTGGTCGTGTGGTCGGCGGTCGGGGCTGCTTGGGTGCTCTCCTCCTGTCCCCTCCCTTGCTCAGGCTGCGCTTGGGCAGGGCGCCGGAGGTGGCAAGGGAAGGCGCGGTGGTGCGGCGGTCGGGCTGGCGTCCGTCCAGATGTACAGCGCTGCGATGTGGCCCTGGCCGTCGGTACAGTGCGCGCGGAGGCGGTGGTTGGCCATCGGCGCAGTGGGTGCGGAGGCGGTCGCAGCGTCGGCAGCACGTGCCAAAAGCCGGCGACAGCGGCCGGCCGAGGCGTTGGTCGTGCGGCGGTGTTTCGCGAGCAGCGGAGTCAGGTCCGGCTCCGCGTTGCCCGGCCGGAGGGGGTGACGGCCGACGCAGCTGTGCGGCTGCTGCGTGCAGCCGGCGCGTCGAGGCCCCTCTGAAGGGTTACTGTGGAGCGGCAGGACAACGGTGATGGCAGTGATGGATGGCAAGGGGCCTTGCTTCTTGGCCCGACGTTCGTGCTTGAGGACTCCTTAGGCGAAAGCCTAGCGATGGCGACACCTGTGGGTGCCGCTTTCCCTGTTGGGGGCGTCGTGTATCCCCTCTAGCACTATCATCCAAGGGTGAAAGCCCGGTCCACTTTGGACGTGCGACGGTGGCGCCATCGGCATTGCTACCTTCCTGAAGGCGTCGCGTTTGGATTTCGTCGTGGCCTCGATGTCTCCTCGGTGATTGTTCTTCGCTTCTTGGCGCCTCGATGACGCGTGGAGGCGGGTCTTGCTGCGAGAAGTCGAAGCTGCTACGTCAGGGACGTGGCTCAGCAACGATGACACGCAGCGAGCCCCCACCTTCATCGTAGGCTGGGGTCTGCTAGGGGTCGGCAAGCGCTGGAGGCGAGGCGTGTGGACGTGACTGAAAGTCGGAGCTGCTCTTTGCGGGGTGCTTGAGCTTGGCAACGATGACCGGTTGCGGCCGCTTGCTTCGGGCTCGTTGGTGGGTGGCTTGTGTGTGGACTGCCATGAGAAGTCGGAGCTGCTGGCGTCTTCAGCCATGCTCGGCAACGATGACCCATGGTAGTGTGCCGTGTTAGTGCTCAGCTGCGTCGTGTGGGTTGGTTAGCCTATCGGGTGCGCTTTTTGGCATCCCGTTGGCTAGTCCTCTTGTACATAAATTCTTTCTGTCTTAATTAAGCGGCAGAGCTCCTGCCTTTGTTTCAAAAAAAAAATGACTGAAAGCTCTGGGATTCCTTTGATGTCAATGTACTTGTCATAGAGGTCCTTATCCTTGTACACTCCAGACCCGGTGTTTGAAGCCACAATCTTCACAGAATTTTCATCAAACCAGTTGGAATAAAACAACCTGTGAAGCTCTTCAATGCTCTTAGGATGGTACCAGCCGTCGTCGGAGACTGCAATGGAACATCTTTTTCCTGCTTCAGTGTAGACTTGATCTCGGATTTGAGAAACTCTGGAAATGTGCAAATGGCGCCGCTGTTGTAGCCCGGCAGCTTGCTGACTTCTGCAGGTTCGTCACCCTTCTTCCAGAAGCAGTTGAGGCCCAGGTCCTCGAGGTCAACATCAGAGGTAAAGCTTTTGCAGGCGTCGACGATGGGCCTGTATCCGGTGCAGCGGCAAAGGTTGCCTGAGACAGCCTTCTCTGCCTCCGAGGAAGTGATCTTGGAGAAGCCAGCGGGAGGGGCTGGGCGATCGGACTTCTTGTCGGCCTTGACAAGCGCGGAGAAGATGGACATACACATGCCGGGTGTGCAGAAGCCGCACTGTGAGGCGTGGAAGCCGGAGAGGCGCTGCTGCACGGGATGGTAGCCATCCCTGGTGTTGCCGATTCCCTCACTGGTGGTCACCGAGCAACGGTCCACGCTGTGGAGCAGCGTCAGGCAGGAGCTAGCAGAGAACTCGGTGACCTCGTTCATGGCCGGGTCGTACTTGGAGATGAGGACCACGCATGCACCGCAGCGACTTGCCACAATGTGAAATTGTAAAAGTGGGATGACTTTAGCTCTTTTATCTTCATTGTACATGCAGAATAGCAGATATTTTTGCATTCAGAGATAAATGTAGAAGCTGATGCCAATTCTATAGAACGAAGGTGCAGGAAATTTCAAAGTTTACATCGCAACCTCGTTATATAAAGCAAATAATCAGCTTGTTCGCTCGTTGGTTTCAGCTAGGGCTTATCAGTCAGCCAATAGTGTTTTCCTCTCACAACAAACCAACATCAATCGGACTTATCAGTCCAGAAATCAACCAGCGAACAGGCCAACTATATATAGTTCAAAAGATAATTCCAGTTTCTTGTAGTATTAGCTTCCTGTGTAGTATGTCCCAAATATAATAGTACCTGATTTTTTAAAATATAATGATTCTTTTTATTAAGTAAACAGTCTGTCGAGTCCTGCCTGAGTGCAAATGCAGGACGGTATTCCTTCCGTTGAAAAATGCAAGACGTCTTTTATTTTGAGAAAAGTCAAACTCTGTACGTTTCTGTATAGCAATCAGTCAAACTATCAGTATTGCATTATTGGTTGTAGTGTATAAAAAATGCAGAAGCATCTTTAGGGATCTGTATTTTAAAGTCCTTGCACATCATACTGATTTTCTAGCTATAACTATTGTAGTTTGCAAGAAGCATCTGTATTTATTTCTTCCTTGTAGCTGGTATCAAGGCACATAGGTTGATGAAACAGTAGCAGCCAAGGAAGGTTGTTCCTTCCAATCTCTATGGATGGATTGGTCTTAGGTGCTGTTTAAATTCGGTGGCTAAAGTTGATGAGTGTCATGTCGGGATGTCATATGAGAGTGTTTGAATAGTAATAATAAAAAAATTATAGAAGTCATCAGTACTCCGCGAGACGAATTTATTAAGCCTAATTAATCCGTCATTAGCACATGTTCATGTCATTAGCACCACATTGTCAAATCATGGACTAATTAGGCTTAAAAAATTTGTCTTGCAAATTAGTCGTAATCTATGCAATTAGTTATTTTTTAGTCTATATTTAATACTCTTTGCATGTGTCAAACATCCGATGGAATAGGGACTAAAGCTTATGGGGGGAACTATACAAAACCTTAGCTTCTTGGGATGTCCGATCCATGAGATGGTGACATCCCAAGCAAAAAATCCAAGAACGAAAAGGCATTGGCATCCTCTCGATCTGCAATCTAAAGTTGGCGAAGAGAATGCACATGCATGCAAATACATAATAGGAGACTCCAAGGAAAACTAGCTACCATGTGTGCTTGGAAGTTGGCAAAAATCCAAGAACGAAACATAGAGCTACCTTTTTTTTTTTTTTGACAAAACGAAACATAGAGCTACCTAGTAGTGTAGAGAGTAGAGCCGAGAGCTCAACAATAGCGCTCTGATCTGACGTAACGTACCTTCGCCGCAGCCGAGCTTGGGGCCTGTGACGGGCGTCTGGGTGCGGAGGAACTCCAGCAGCGACGTCGACGGGGCCACGCCGGCCGCCTCGTACCGCTTGCCGTTGACGGCCAGCACCACCGTCGACGACACCGCTGCTTCTGCTTCCTTCCCCATCTCCTCCGATCCTGCACAGCACAGCACCTCTGGGTCTGGGGAGCCGATCGATGGTGCCGTCCTGTTTAATTATACGAGTCCCCGACCTGCTCCTCTAGCCGGCCGGGCGGTGATGATGTTGATGCACACGCTGACGTCGCCGGCGTCCAGGATGCGAAAGCGTCCTCGCAGCTGCAGTGCAGGCCTGTCAACAAGTCAAGGAGCGGGACAATGGCATCATGCATGTGCTCAGCCGGTGCATCCTTTGCAAAAAACAAATACGGAAATGATCCAGCCAGCGTATTGGACTAGCGAGCATCCAATCAGCATGCATTTTTTTCAGTCGTATAAGATACTACTAGTACAAGTGTACAACTGTACAAGGCCACAAACCAGCAATGCAAGCGATCGGGGAGATCAGAGATGCGCTTGGACAGGCGCTGGCGCGGGTGGACAGAACGGCCGAATTTTTTATATTTTAGCTCTTTTTTAAAAATTTCTTACAAATAGATCCCTGAAGAAAATATTTCATAATATGGACACTTAGCTCGGCGCCATTGATGCTGGCGCCGAGCTCCTGGGTTCGAAGCTGACATGGCAGGGCGCCGAGCTCGACGCCGTAGATCTTGGCGCCGAGCTCGGTGGCAGAGTGACTGGCGCTGAACCTTTATTACCTATAGGCCCCGCCCCTCTCTTCCTCTCCCTCTCTCGCCCTAGCAGAGCAGAGCCGAGCTTCGCCGCCGCCGCCTCCACCGGCCGCCCGCGCCCGCACCCCGAGCCCGCCGAGCGCCACTGCATCCACCCCGAGGCCGCCCCGTGCCGCGCCACCACGTACGGCCCGCGCGCCCGCGCCCGTGCCCCCCGCCCCCGCGCGCTTCACATGATTGCCAGCGCCTCGGCGTGCAGGGCGCCAGCGCCCAATGGCCTTGCCGCCACACACACACGCGCTCAGCCCCTCCCACCCGCGCCCGGTCCCTCACGGTTCTCGCGCCCGCGCCGCGCCCTCTCCTTGCCTTGGCGTCGCCCCGCCTTGCCATGCCTCCCGCGCCCGTCGAGCCGGACTCGCCACATGAGCCCCGGCATCTCAGGCCCACCACGCGCCACCACCGTTGTCGTCGGCAAGGCCACCACCGACCACTCACGCCACTGCGGCGGCGGCCGCCACCACCGCCCCTGAATCATCATTGGCCTGACCCACGCCCATCGTCCGCTGCGACTCCATCGGCGTCCGCAGATCAATCGTTGGAAAGGTAAAAATTATGAATATGCAATGTACCTACTTAGTTGACATTTATTATTTACTAGTTAATGTGATGACTTATGTAGTTGATTTAGTTAGTGATCTAGTGAGATATATATATGTAAATAGATAGAAACATAGATATATAGGTACATAGATATAGTTAGATAGCTACTTAGATATGTAGTTACATATTTAGTTAACTAAATATGATCTAGCTATTTAGTGAGTACACTGTATATATATGTAGTTATTATCTTATTTACTTAGTTTGTAGTTAGAAAGTATTTGTTAGGTACTATCTATCGTCTAATTTGGACTAAATGACGTGTTTCGTTACGTGTTTGAACTAGATGGACAACCTAGTGACCATATATCATGGAGGCACCATTGAAAACGATTGCTATGGATATGTTGAGTTTGTTGACATGCAAAGCGTGCCTGTGCTATTCAATGATAGGCCTTCATTTAGTGAGATGGTTGCAAGGGCTCGGGAGGAGCTGCATTGCCTTAGAGATGATGACATTGCAGTTGATGGTGTACTGCACCTAGGTTCTCCCAACATCTTCAGGCGAATGATCTCAATTGGTTGTGTGGATCAGTGGGAGAACTATGTGAGATCGGCTATGAAGAGCCAGCTACAATGTTTGAACGTGGTTATACGTCGGGTGTTAGTTGATCCCATCCCTCATGGTTTTCCCCAGCAATGGATCAGCAGGCACACATTGACCCTCCCGTTCTAGAACCTTATATGCATGTGGAGATTGCACCTACGGTTCCCGATGCCCAATCTGCCCCCTAATGCGGTAGTTGGAGATGGTTGTCAGACTCATGTTTCTGCGGCAGATCCTCCTCATGAGATCCCTTTGACACAGAATTATCCGAGTAAGTGTCTTAACCGTATGGTTTTTGGGAGCTTACCCCGTTCCTTACATCTATTTCTTTCATTCTTTCCTCATTTCTCTACTTATATTGCAGGAAACATTCCTGAGAATGTGGATGTGCCCCTGTTGCTGCGCAAGTGCACTTTGGAGATGGATTCTGTGGCTCCAATAGTGTTGAAATTATGCATGATTCGGAGCCATATGAGATGGCTAGGGCTCTTGATTCTGATGATGATCGCCCTATTGGAGAGCTGACGGAGAGTGATGTTGAGATGATGAGGCGTATCTTTCCCTTCCATCGTGATCTTAGAGTTCACAAGTTCAGCGATCTTGCTCATTCTGATCAGGCGTTTGCAGAAGGACGTGATGATGAGCTCCTAGAAGCTCCTGAGGCCGGTCCTAACATGGTAATTGAGAATGGGAGGGTGTTCAATGACCTCCCTGCTTTGAAGAGGTGGTTGCAGGCTTTTGCGGTGATACGAAAGAGACCTTACAAGGTATTACATTCATATGCGGAGCGTCGTTACACAGTTGTGTGTGACAAGAAACGCTGCCCATGGAGGGTTTGTGCAAGGAAGCAACAGGTCACCGGAAAATGGAAGATCACAAAAGTTATCGGGCCACACAATTGTGCTGACCATGAGCTAACACTGAAGCATCGGCAGTTGACATCTACCCTCATTGCCAAGCGGTTGATGAGAATTTTGCAGGGAGAACCCAACATAAAGGTGAGGACAATTATCAGGACCGTTGAGGCGTTGTATTGAGGTTATGTGATAACTTATGGTAAACCATGGAGGGCTAAGCAGCGAGCGTGGAAGATGATATATGGGGACTGGGAGGATAGATATGAGTAGCTACCAGTTCTTTTCAATGCAATCAAAGCGGTGAATCCAGACATGCATTATGAGTACATCCCAAAACCAAATGCATGGAAGGCAGATATTCTTCCGTGCTTTCTGGTGCTTCCCTCAGTGTGTCGAGGCCTTTAGGCACTGTCGTCCCATCTTCTCCATTGATGGTACGTTCTTGATTGGCAAATACCAAGGCACACTTCTTATAGCCATATCCTGTGACGCGAACAAGTTGGTTCCTTTGGCATTTGCTTTGGTTGAGAAGGAGAACAATGACAGTTGGGGATAGTTCTTGAGGCTAGTTCGGATACACGTGGTTGGACCTGGCAGGGAGGTTGGCGTCATATCTGATAGGCACCAGGGCATACTTAATGCCGTGCGAGAGCAGATAAAGGGGTATGCACCTTTGCACCATCGTTGGTGTACTCGGCACCTTGCCGAGAATCTACCCCGGAAGGATGGTGTGAAGGGTAACTTTGATCTGTTCTAGGAGGCTGCTCGACAGCTTGAGGACAAGTACTTTCAGGAAAAGTTAGAGCAGGTCAGAACCGCATCAAATGCAGAAGGTAGACAATGGCTCACATGTTTGACGAGGGATTTGGAGAAATGGACGAGAGCTCGCGACGCCGGTGGATGGAGGTACGAGTTTCAGTGCAGCAACATGGCGGAGTCATTCAATAAGTTGCTATTGGGGATATGTGGTATGCCCGTGAATGCAATCGTTCAATTCACCTTCTATAAGCTTGTTGCCTGGTTCAACGATAGACATGCCATGCATTGCAGTTGCGAAGTGATGGAGAGATATGGGCTCTAAAACCAAAGGCACACCTAGAGAAGGCAAGAGAAAGGGCTGACACACATGCGGTTACATGGTTTGACCATGCCATAGGGACTTATCAGGTTGAGCATAGGGGCGGTACAACGTCCGACGGCGAGGTCCGAGAGTCGAGGATACATGTGGTTGTCCTCCAAGATTTCAAGTGCACTTGTGGTAAACCATGGCAGTACCACTTTCTATGTTCTCATTTGGTGGTAGCAGCTAGGCATCACAACTATAATATCGAGAGGAGGATACCTCATGAGTTCAGTGTTGACACGCTTGTGCACACATGGAGCCCCCGCTTCGTGCCTTTCCGGGACCCTTGAGAGTGGCCTCCATATGATGGGCCGAAGTACATTGCGGATCCAGCTTACCGTTGGAACAAGCGTGGATCAAGGCAGAGGACGAGGCACGGGATGGTTATGGATCAGATACCCGGAAGAACGAGGCGTGAGAGAGGAACTCCATTTGTTACTGACCCCGAGCAGAACGAGTGCGGCAAGTGCGGTAGACTTGGCCACAATTCACGAAGTTGCTATTGGCAGATTAGTGATGTGCGACTATTGGTTGATTTGATTATTTTATATTTGTCGTATTCATTTAATTAATTATGCATGTCTCAATTTATGCTTATATTTGTGTCAATTACTTATACATTTCTAAGTACATGTTTTATTGTATATTGAAATTCTAATTCATTCACTTTTTTCTAGGATGGCGCAATTTCACATGCTTGACTCGACGTACGAGGCGACCCACCGAGGACGTCTCATAGCGCTGGGGTAGGTAATAATCTATAAGTTTTGTTCAAAATTTGGTGAGCGTACATGTGTTCGTGAAGTAACAGGAGACTATGTTTTATTCGATGCAGGACCTTCCGCTCCTTCGTCCTAGAACCCACGGTGGGTTCTTGGACATGCGGTACGACGACAGTACACTCCTTTCCTGCAAAGAGCTGGCCTAGATGTCATATATTTTCAGGTTCGTCGTGGGTTGCCCAAGTTCAACTCAGCGGCCATAACTGCATTGGTTGACAGGTATTAAATTAAATCATTGCCTCCATTCATGGCCATTTGTTCATGCGATTTACTTTTTGACAAGTAATCTTGCTTTGTCTTAAATATAGGTGGCAGCCAAAGACTCACAGCTTCCACCTACCTTTCGGGAATATGACAGTCATGCTCTAGGACTGTTAGAAGATGCTAGGCCTAAGGATTCACGGC